AAACCCTTGATATTTTCGGTACTTGATCTTGAAAATCATGTTTTTTTTTTATTCACCAATTTTTGCATCAATCTTCTATTAGATATATTTTATGAAAGGAGTTTTGAAAAGTTAGTGTTTCTTTTTCTAATTTATTCCTTGATTTAGATATTGGATTAAAAAGTTTTTGATCCTTTAAAAGAATCTGAGTTTGGATTAACAATTTCTGAATTTCTTACCTTTACTGGATTATGCGTTGTGAATTAAGAGATAACTTTCTCATTTTTTTAAGATTTTCTTTCGTGCCCCTTATCTTTTTGATAATTCAAAGGGGGAGAACGTATTGTTGTATTTGTATCTTCTTTTTTCTCTTTCAAAAATTAAAAACAAAAAAAACGTTTTGATTTCCCCTATTTTCTAAAGTTTTATTCTAGTGAGAGGGAGATTAGGATAACATGATTTCTTTTTGCATATTTAACCTATAATGTTTGCCATCATAAAAAAGGGGGAGATTATTGCGGATTTGTTTTCATGGATTATGATTTTGATGATAGCAAACACTCTTATTTCTCTACGTCTGCCTTATCTACTGATATTTCAGGTCCACAAGATCAGACTGCAATTTGGAACTAGCTCAAGATTGGGTAAACTAGATATGAGTAAGTTTGTACCCCTTTTTCCTTTCTTGAGTCTATTATATTTGGTGTGGCTCCTGATGCTATGTAACTTTGCACACACACGTCATGAAAGTTTTTCTATCTATTCCCTAGAGTTTACTATTTTTGGTAACATCATCCAGAATGATATTTATATCAGCCTGAATGATCAGTTTAAAAATAAAAACCCTAATTAGGGCATCATCCTCATTAAGACAGTCGTCATTAAGCCGATCGGCCTGGACAATCCTTATATTGGCCAGGACGATAGGCTCAAATAAAAATGAAATAGTCGCCATAATCAATTTAGGTATTCTTTATTTTAGGACATCGGCCAGGACGATCTATACATCAACATGGATGATATAGCATAATTATGCCTAAATTTATCTGGTAATTATGGAAAGTATTTAAGGCTGATTGATACAATCACATCGGCCGGGCCGATCGCATGATCGACCTCGACGATGGCCTGGACAATTAACATCGGCCAGACTATATTCCAAGCGATATTCAGGACAAATGTACTCGAATTTGACCTAATCGGCCAGGACGATATTGTATCGGCAAGGACGATGTAACTAATCGGCCTGAACGATGTCTACAAGAGGAGGTCTCTTTGGGAAAGATTGGAATATCATGTGTCTAAAGATATTCCTATGGTAGTGGGTGGAGACTTTAATTGCTTAATATCTAGGGAGGAAAATAAGGGGAGGAAGGAGATTTGTTTATTCCCTTGGTTTGAAGGAGATGAAATCCTTTATAACATGTAATGATTTACATGAGGTTGTGTGTATTAGACCCAAATTCACATGGTGCAACAATAAGAAGGGGGCTGAAAGGATTCTTGAAAAATTGGATAGATGTCTTCTGAATTCAGCAGCGTTGAACTCTTCTCATCGTCTGGTGGTTAGACACTTGGTTAGAGTTGCATCGGACCATTATCCGATTTTGTTAAACTTATTGAAACTCAAGTGCCATGTAATAAGAATATCAAGTTTGAAGATATATGGGGCTCAATTCCAGCTTCAACGGTAGTGGTTAGAGAAGCATGGAGGAAAAAATCTGTTGGAGAATTCCCTCAAATTTTGAATCAGAAGATGAATAGATATCTTAAAGCTTTATATTATTGGAGTAAAGCTAAGCACAAGGACTTAAATCAATCTAAAGATGAGCTAAAGAAAGAAATTCTGGAATTGCAATTAAAAGAGGTTGGATTCAGTTTCCTATCATATGAGGATATGTGGCTATTGAAAACTAAGACAAATGCTTTAAACTCTACATTGGCTCGGCTTTGTACTTGGTGGAGGCAGCGAGTCAAGGTTAAATGGCTTATGGAAGGTGACTCAAACTCAAGATTTTTTCATGCATATGCAAGTGCTAGAAGGAATTCAAACTTCATAGATGAGAATGGATTGATTGTAGAAGAGAAGTAACAAATAGAAGATGTATTATTCTGTTACTTCAAAGATAAATGGAAAGAGAGGAATTGTTCTATGGTTGGGTAGCCTAAGGCGTGGAAGACTTTGAATGAAGATGATTTGCTTATGTTGGATATAGATTTTTCCATGGGAGAAATGGATAAGGTAATCAAAAATATTGGTGGGAATATTGCTCCGGGACATGATGGTATCTCTTATTCATTTTTTAAATCATATTGGTCTATAATCAAGGATGATTTATGGAAGGCTTTGGATCACTTCTTCAAATCTGGCAAGATGTGTAAAGAGTGGAAAGAAATAATCATAGTGCTCATACCAAAGGTAAAAAATCCTTTATCTCCTTCCAATTTTAGACCAATAAGTCTGTGTAACTCTGTTTACAAGATAGCGGCAAAGATGATTTTAAATAGACTTTTGCTTGTTATTCCTAAATTAATTTTGGATGAATAAGTAGCTTTTTTTTAAAGTGAGGTCGCTTTCAGATCATGTCTTAGTGGCCCATGAAGTCTTCCACAAGTTTAGATATTCTAAATTCTCTAAAGGTTTAGTTTCCTTCAAAATAGACATGGAGAAAGCATAAGATTCAATGGGGGTGGTTTTCCAAATAAATTTGCTAATCTCATTTTGGATTGTGTTTATAGTCCTTGCTTTTCTTTATCAATCAATGGGAATTTGTCTAATTGGATAGAAGCTAAGAGCGATTTCCGTCAAGGATGCCCATTATCACCATTTTTGTTTATTATTTGTGCACAACTTCTATAAAATGCTTTCTCACAAAAGAAGGATTTGGTAGGTATTCATATTTCACCTAATGGGAATAAGATCACTCACCTACTATATGCCGATGACATTATCATTTTCTCAAAAGCATGGTTGAAGATGATTAAGGAGATCAAAAGCATCCTTTCGGACTTCTGTGGTTGGATGGGTCAAAGGGTGAACACTAGTAAAATTGGAATCTTATTTGGTAAATTAGTTAGAAGAAGGAAGAGAAAAGAAATTGCTAGACTTATGGAATTCAAGGAGATCAAAGAATTTTCCTATTTGGGAATCAAGGTTGCATTGAGAAGAATGGTTAAAGCTGATTTCCAATTCCTCTTAGATAAAGCATTGAATATGCTGGGTGTGTGGGTTGAAAAATTTATATCTTTGGCCAAAAGAATCACTTTGGTCAAGTCGATTTTGTTATCATTCCCAACTTTTCATTCAACTCTTTCTTTGGTTCTTAGAAGTGTTTTGAATGAAGTAGATAAGTTGTGCAAAAGTTTTATTTGGAGCAAGAAAGATGGAAAAGCCGGTCTCCACTATATTTCCTAGGAATCCTTATGCAGACCGAATGATTTGGGTGGACGTGGAATAGTTCCCTGTTCTAAGAATGCTGGTCCACTTAGAGCCATGTTGGCTTGGAGGTATTGTCAAGACAAAGAATCTTTGATGCATAAAGTGCTGTTCCCTAAATATGGTTCTATTTTTTAGGATCATTTTTCGGACAGAGCAGGTTCTTCAGCTTGGGAACTTTTATGCAATGGAGCAGAACGTCTCAAACCAATTGTCAAATGGAAAATTGCTAATGGGAAATCTGTACATATTTTCAAAGATACTTGATTATTGGATATAAGAATTGATAAATGGCCAACCTTTATTCAATCAAATGAGTGTAATAATCTCACGGTGGACAAGTTTATAAGCAATTGTTGCTGGGATGTAAGGAAGCTGGGAGATTTCTTCGGTCCAGAACTTGTACAACTGATATCTAGTATTCAGATTTTTTCTAGAAGTTCAGATGATCAAATGGAATTAATTCATAAGCTCTCTGGAAGATCAATTTCAGCCTTGGCAACCGAAAAATTGGAGAAATGCAGTTCTATTTTTGCTGGATGGAATTGACTTAAAAATGCCAAATTGAGTTCAAAAGTGGAGAATTTCTAGTGGAGAGTTTTCAACAATGCAATCCCAACATATCAGTTCTTAAGTTATAGAAGATTACAAGGTAATAATGGTTGTCCAAGGGGATGCAAGACGGCTGAAGACATTGATCATATTGTCTCCAAATGTAGGTTTTTAAAAGAAGTCATATAACATCTAAACAATTGGGGTTTTGGCATTCCTAGTTTCAGCTCCTTTGATTCATGTTTTATATGGTTGGATAGCTAGAATCATTGACTGGTTAATCTTTTTTGCACACGGTCTACTTGTCTTGGAAAGCTAGAAATGACTTTGTTCATAATGGATCTACAACCAGCTCGTTGGTGATTGCTACAAACACTATGAGTTATTCTACTGTCTTTAAGCCTTTAATTTGTTTTAACTTAGACATTTGAGATGTTAATCAACTGGAAAGGTTGTTGAATTATTATTGGCATCCTCCTACACCCGATTGGATAAAAGTCAATATAGATGCTTCCCTTAGTCCTTCCTATAAGGCTGTGATCGGTGGTGTGTTTCGTGATCGTAAGGAAAGGTTCTTGATGTCTTTTGATCAAAAGTGGATCCATTGGGATACTGCTTTATTGGAGCTTCAAGCTATTTTATCAATCAAAGATGTGGTTAAAGAATGGATGTTTGATTACAAGGGCTTAATCATTGAAGGAGACAACAAAAATGTAATCAACTTCGTTCAAGGGATCGTGAGGAAAGGCAGCAATGAAGTGGGAGATCTTTCATTTATCAAAGAGTTCAATTTTGTTATCTTTAATTGTGTAAAAAAGGAATGCAATAAGTTAGCGGATCTTTGTGCTAACTATGCAATTTTAAGTTCTTTCATTTGTGATGATTTAGTCATGAATAAGATTTCTCCTTCTTTTATTAATTTGTTATAGGATGAATCAAATGGTATTAGGATGTAATCCATTTCCTTAGTTATTAATGAAGCATTTTATGTTTTTTTTTTCTTAAAAAAAAACAAGAGCACGGACTTGAAAATGCCTGCGAGCTATCGATGTGGCTCTAGGTCGAACACGATTGTCCGTTCAACTCGGCCCAGTTCTTACCCTTCACTCTTATACCTCTTTTATCTCGATGCATCTTCTCGGCCTCTCGTCCTCTCCTCCTCGTTTGAGTGCGATCCGCTCGCTTTTCCGCAATGGTTTTATGCAGGGCTCCGCTTTCGCTCTTCATCGCACCGCCGGCCGACAACAGCGTGAGCTCTTTATTCTCATTGATTTCTACATTCCATATTTCCTCCCTCCTACACTCTAAACAGCTTTCCCTTTTTGGCAGCGACGCAGCTTCATGCGAGGGAGAATGGTTTGTCTCAGTGACGGAAGCATTGAAGAATATCAATCCTCCAAGGTAATTTGGTTTCAAATGCTCACTTGTGTGCGCTATACTGCGCGGCAATAGCATATGTTGTTTCTGTGTTTGGTATCTACAATGTCTGGCTTTCAGAGTGGAAAATGCAATATCAGATGCTGAATTTGTTTTGCATTTCATCTGCAAAACTATGTATTGATGAGGTCTTATGTTGTATAATAATATCTTAATGTCACAATTGATTGTGGTATTTCCCTATGGAGTGGAAACTATAAAGTATAACTGGATTATTGTTAATTTAGCAACATTGTTCTTGCAAGACAGTGGCTGGATTTATGGTTTCTTGTATGTTGAAGCAAGGATTAATTTCATGAAACTATCATTTATATTGCTCTCGTGGTTATTATTAAAACGATTAAGGCCTTCAAAGCAACTACCTGTAATGAGAGCAATAGGACAGTCTAATCGTGGGTGTGCTTGGACCAATGCTTAAGGGTCTATTTGGGTGTCTGCCACATTTTGTAAAAGTGGTGCAAACTATTGTAGGGAAAAAAAAAATGTAAACGCTACTGTGGGTATTATATTTTTTTTTTGAAAAAAATAGATAGTAGCATTCTTATAGATATCGCAAACTTGATGATCTAGATATAAAAAGTAGCTTCCCACCATAAAAAATTATAAAATGTAACAAGAAAATATAGTCAAATAAAAATATGATAACAGTCTGAAATAGTAGATTAGTGAGTAAGTTGCCTCAGAAAAACCCTAAGTTATTTCCATGGTGACATAGAGGTCTCGGGTTTGAGTCATGGAAACAACCTCTTTGCATTGCAGGGGTAAGATTATGGACAAACCCGTGCCTTGCATTTGTAGGAGTTTCATGCGCTAGGTGCATTGTCTTTTAAAGCCAAATATATTGGAAGGTTAGGAATTTCTTTACAAGGGCCTAATTATTAGACAAGAAAATCATTAATAGAAGGTCGAGCCTTATTGTTTACCATATTTTCAAAAGTGAGGTATCAAAATTAAAAATTGAATTTGACTGTTATAGGACACAATGGAGAAAAAGAATTTAGGTAGTTGACCCCACATAGTGGGATAAAGTTTTGTTGTTGTTATGATGAAGAAGTTTAGCTTGAGACATATGTACTAATATGACCCAAAAAGAACAATTTCTGTTTGTGATATAATTTCTAAAAAGATACAAGCATTGATTGATTGCTTGCAAAATACAATGAAATGTGATTTGGTTCCTTGAGTTAAATTCATCAAGTCAAGTTATATTTCAAGTTCTTTTTGTCATGCTCTAATATCGCCTGGACAACATTATATTATAACACAGTTATATGATAAGCAACAACTATACAATCAAAAAGTTAAATTATTACATTATTTTAGTGTTTTTTTTTCTACTCTTGTATAATCATGCGATCAAAATCTAACTATTATACATCAATGTTTGAATAATATAACGATAGCATATACATATTATAGCTAAGTAAGATTTAGCCCTCCACCTGCCAAGGTTAAAAATGATGAGCAAAAAACTCCATCAATTGGCACCACTTCCAACATTGCAGGTGTACAACTATATTCAATATGCCATGCAATGTCCTCAAACTCCTAAAGCTAATATCTTATCATCATCCACATCATTCATACTAAAAAGTATGCAAATATAATGCATGCATGATTACACCTAAATATTAAAATTTGAGAAACCATATGTATATAAGATCCCAAAATCATGCAGAGAATATATCGTGGAGCTAGATGAATTGTGAACAAAATGGATGTCTATTTTTAAATTTATGCATACCACTCTCCAATCTATTTTTCCTCATGATCTTTCTTTCTCTTTGGCCTCCCAACCATCCTTCATGGAGTCCTAGGAAATAACAGTGGTAAATCTCAGGTTTTTGGTATTCAACATTTAGCCATATTTATAGGGAAAACCTCTAACAAAATGGTTAAAATATTTTAAATAAATTATTTCTCGAACGTATAATAGCAGAATATGACACTTTCACTGGATGAAGATTTAGGTCTAAGTCACTACTTAATCAAACATTGAGTCCTCTAATGTATTAATTTGATGGATGCAATTTACAACAAGCATAAGCTTGGCTTCAGAAATATTTTCTTTGCTTATGAAATGTGGAATGGAACAATACATTTAAATTCTCAAAGGGGCTTTTCTAATTTGCACCTCTTTTTATTGTATTCTATTTATTGTGGCACATATTAACTCTAAGCAATGGAGGTGCTCTCTAGAGTTCCAAATGCATTAACTAACTTCTGATATTCTTTGGATTGCTGGCTTACATATATTTTTTATGGCTTATTTTTATTAAGAAGTGATACAATCTTATCGGTAGTTTTGGGCTAATAGAGAATCTAGCTTAAAACGAAAAACCTTTGAACCGAAAGTTCCCTTAGGTTGGAGCAGTTTACCTGAGAATTTTAGCTTTGGTAGGTTTCTTGAAAACAACGGTTGCAATCCGGTGATTAATGTGGCTGAAAACAACCACTAAAATAGGTGGACAACTGCTATTTTTGCAATTCAGGTTGAGAAAAAGGATGTAAATAGCCTCTGGAATGGATCTCTGCGCAGAATAGGGGACGAATGTTGCTGTTCTTGAAGGCCTAGAATGAGAAGAAGACTATAGAAAGACTAGAGAAAGAATTCTGGTGAGAACTGGGGAACAGAGGGTTGTTCTTACTTGTTTGGGCAACTGTTCTTGCAGCAAGAACTAGTGTGAAAGATAGCTGGCCGAACCTGGTAGTTGGCTGTTGCTGTGGACAACGACAAGGAAAGGGAGGAGGGAAGATTCCCAAGTAGAATAATGACTGAATTCTAGAGGAAAGAAGAGAGAATGCAATTCTTGGAAATTCCGAGGCAACATATGAGGATTGGCGGCATAACTTGAAGGGAGATGAGGGGTTCGGCTCGGTTGAGGCCTTGAAGAGAATCAGGAATGGATTCTTAGAGACTCCAAGGCAGGGATGAGGAGAGCTGTTGTCCGAGTTCAACAGGGAACCAATGTAAGGAAGGAGGGGGAGGGACGTTCGGTTCTTGGATACTCCAAGCAAAACGTGCGGCTGAGAGGGATGGATGGAGGAGAAAAGGGAGTTCTTAGAGACTCCAAGATGGGCCACAAAGGGCAGCCACACTTAAGGAAACATTCACTAATTTGATCCAACAAAATATCTCCTCAATTTCCATTCCTAAGGCCTTTAAATAGGCAAGTTTATTACAGTTTTACATAAAACCCCTTCAACTATCCAAATTCAGAAAAGAACACAAAAATGGCTAAAATAATTCTATAAATTATTTATCCAATCACTTGGAGGAGATTAACACTTAATGATTCGGCTAGGCTATTATTGATGGGCCTTTTAGGTCATTGTGGGCCCAAAGTTGGGTTAGCAGCCCACTAACTTCTTCTCCGCCTTCTCGACTTTGCGCACGTGTAGGCTCTCCAACGGTAATTTGAAGAGGACTTTCGTGATCGTTAGCTTGATTAGTATCAAGAAATCTTCATGAATGAATGTTATTTGTGTGTATGCGCACACTCATGCAATTACATACGTGAGTGTATTTAATATTCTAGGCAGTTTTTGTGCAGCTTGTGTCAGTCTAGACTTAGTTATTTTCCCAAGGTTTTTAAACTTATAATTTGAGAATGTGATAGGAAAGCTACAATTTGTCTAACATCTTACCGGCATGTTAAAGCTATAGTGACTTTCAAATATAGGAAAATAATAACCCGAACTGATGAAATGGGCTGATGATTAGGAATTGTTTTTTTCCCCAAAAAGATAGAAATCTATCCAGTATTTTCGTTAAGTGGGTCTAAGGCCTATAAATAAATAAGATGAGTGCAAAGACTAGTTACCCATACTAAATCTATGGAATAAGTAAATATGAATAAAACGATAGAAAATGATAAAAAAGGATAAGATAGTAGAGAAAAATGGATTATGAGAATGGTGAATTGAAGCATCTAATTTGAATTATATATATATTGTGAGAAGATATATATATATATATATAATATGGCTGTAAGGCAGAGTTTAGTGGGGCGCAGTTCAAATGTAATAAAGAAGTTATTATCAGGTCCCCACAAATTGATGATCAAAGGCTGTAGCATCAATTTGTTACACAAGGCAAGGAATTTGATTTTTGATAGTGCTTTTGTGAAGATAAATTTGATCTTTAAGTGTTGATATAATGAACTAGGATGTTGTTTGATTTGATACGATCTTTGATGAAATGATAATCAATTTTGATTATTTTTGTTATCATGAAACATCATGTTAATCAAATGAGTGTTAGAGCTAAAGCTGAAATATTATCACAATAGAGAGGTGTTGGAAAGTTGATTGGTATGTGAAAATCGCGAAGAAGTCTTGAATCCAAATAATGTCTGTTGTTGCAATGTCCGAGTCACTGCACTATATTTTACTTCTGTAGAAGATTGAGCCACTGCTGATTGCTTCTTTACAGTCCAAAAGGTAATTGTAGTGCCAACAAAAAAAAAATAAAAACTTATGGTTGATTTTTGGTCCAGTGGTTCTTCAGCCCTATTTGAATCAAACAAGGCATGAAGTTGCATATTTTTGGGATGAATGGGCAAGCCAAGTTGTAGAGTACCATTGATATACCTAAGAATTCTTAGAATCATTTGAAAAATAATGGCTTTGAGGATCATTTATATGTTGGCAAACTTGATTTACAACATAAGAATATCAAGTATTGTAATTGTTAGATATTGGAGTGATTTAACCAAGTGATAATAATGAGCTAGGTTCAAAAAAGCTGCAGATCATTTGGTGGTGTAGGAGATTTTAACTGAAAGTAGTTTGGTCTGGCTTGGAAGTACGCATACCTGAGGGTAGTAGGATGGATTTCACATAAACATTTTGATTCAGGTAAAGTCCAAATGCAGTAATAGGTTTTTGTATGCCCAAAAATTGAATGATAGTGCCAAGGTTCTGCATGTTAAACTCGTTTTAGAGATCCTGTAGAAGTGATG